TTTTTCTTTCTTAAAACCAATCGATCGACGACGATGAAAAAGAATTTTCGGAAGACACAATTTTCATTTTTCTCGTAAAACCTGTTCGAGTTTCTTCGAGGAGTCGCCGATACGCCTCGTGACGTTTTATTCCCGCGTTGTAACGCGCGTTTTATCGCGCTTTTTTTTATTGCGCCACTCGTCGGGCCACCGTCAAGCACCGAGGAGGAAATGCAAAACTATTAAACCGATGTTCCTACCGCGTCTCTTCCGAGGAAATATGCACGCTGCTGCTTAACGGCCGATCGTTCGATCCTCCTCTTCCTTTTTCTCTCGTGTCCAACGCGTCGACGTTCGACCGAAAGCAATTTCGCTTAAATTACCGCGCTTCTTGCGCGATAAATTCGATCCAGGGAGAAATGGGAGAGGTTGTCGAAATGTGAACGTGTTGTGAAGGCTCGTCCGAACGAATCGTTTCAAACGGTTGCTAAAACCGTTTGATCTTTGATTAACTTCGTTTCGAATCCAAAATCGGGATCGAATCCGATTTTCTTGGATTTTTCTTTTTTTTTAACCCGAATTCATCGAATTTTTCGAAATTCGAACGACGAATTTCTTCGTTAATTCGCGATCGTCACGATTTATCGTATCGAATTTATTTTCGAAATTGTATCCAGGATTGAAATCATGAATTTTCTCGGGCTTTGCATCGAGACGAGGAGAGGTGAAACGATCTCCTACGATACATCTAAGGAGAAATAATCGAAGGCATCGGTGGATGAGAGGTTAACAGGGACGGTTACGGCTCGATTATCGCGAGTACGTGCCACGTCGTTCTTTTCCAATCGACTAATGCAACCCCGACAAAGAGGTTTCGCGGATAATTTTCAGGTTAAGTGGGTCGGAACAGCCCCATTTTTCTGAATGCTTCACGATCAACCGCGCTACCTGCTCCCGGTTATTGCACCGTTGTCAATACGTCCGCCTGCCTTTTAATTTATCTCGTGGGCGGCAGGGCGGATTAGGAGTTCGATAAAGTGTCTATTTTGAAGATTACGGTTGAAAGGGTTGCCCCATCCCGAAAGATGGGCAATTTATCTGAGATAATCGACTTGTCTCGTTAAATTTTCCCAAGGAAAATTTATCGCGAGTAAAGCTTTGATCTTGGTCTGCGATCGCTTTCCGATCCTCGATAACGTTTCAACGTTTTATCGTCCGTTCCGATAGTTTCTCGTTAAATCTCGAGCGCCCGCAACGAATATCAATGCGAATATCAATGCGCGTGCAAAGAGAAAGAAGGATTAAACTAAAGCAAGAATTCTTTCTCGCGTATTAACGCGTTATTAAACTTTCTACTTTTATACTTTTAGAAAAAAAAAAAAAATAGAACGTTTCCCGTGCCTTTCCATTGGAACCATTGGTAAAATAAAGAACCAGAAAAAGTCGTATGTTGCATTCCACAGACATCCGCACGCTAGGATGATCTCGATCAAAGATAGAAGATGCGACGATGAACAAAAGAAAAAAAAGAAAAAGAAAAAGAGAGAAAAGATAGAGAAAACTCACAGTTTTTCAGCGACGAGAAAGGTGACCAGGTCCCCGGGTATCTGGGTGAGGCCACGATGAGAGCAGTCGACCTCCTGTCCGGTACACGTGCACAACCACGGGCATCTGGCACTGTTCATGTCCTCCATCGCACCCGACAAACTTCCGAGGCCGAAGCTGCCGAGGGCGGTACCGTGCGAGGCGCCACCGCCCAGCACGGACAGTATCAGCAACAGTCCCCAGGCGCAGACCACGGAACCGCAGCTGACGCCGAGCAAACGCAGGGACCAGGCCGGCGTCATGGCACGCGCCATCGCCAACACCTTCCTGTTAATGTCCTTCACGGCGCGGTTAGGCCCCTCGAGGATTTTCGCGATGCTCCCGGCCCGGTTCTTCGGCAGGATATTGTTCGGGTCGTAGAGGCTGAAGCAGGCCGCCTCGTTCCCCGCCAGCCGGCCGACGTTGATCCCCTGGTGGTAGGCCTGGTGGTAATTGGGGGCCGGCTCCAAGAACGAGGAGATCTCCAACCCCTCGCTTGCCGGGCAACCGAGTATCCTCACCGGCTCGAGGATCGGGTCCTGTTCCAAACGTATCACGGAACACTCGAACTCGTCCGACGTCAAATCCCGCGTATCGTTACTCTCGATCGCTGGCCGCCGCGTCTGTGCTTCCGTCTGTGCTTTTCCCCGCGGCCGGTCCCTCCTTCGACCATGAACCCGACACGATCGATTCGCCGCGGTGTCGGCGCCCCTTCGCGCGTGATGCTCGCTCCTTCCCGCCGAAATCCTGTGTCCGCGCGCCGAGCACACCACCACCCTCCTCTCCAACGTCTGGTCGGCCGGCGGGCAACCGTCCCGCTTCGAACGGACCACCTCCGACCCGCTCTCCAACGCCGAATGCAGATCCAACGCTGCACCCTCCTGATCGCGCAACCGGTGATGGACCAACACGGGCGTCTCACGGGTCAGCGGCGCGCCACCCCCTCGCTCCTCGATCCTCAACGCCTCGCGGCCCTTCGATTCCCCTCCGCTCGATCCCTCGTCCACCGTGACCGGGCCAGCCCGTCGTCGACCGGCATCCGACTCGCAGCAGGGTAGAGCGCAAGATGGCAGCTCGCGAGCTACACCATCCACCGGGCCCTTTCGGGGGCCGTGCTCGTGGCCCCCCTCCTCCGACCAGCCGCTGTTCGACACCGCTAACGACGGCACCACCCGTTCCCGCGCATCCTCGAACGCCGCTCCCACTGACTTTATCTTGACGCTCGTTATCTTTCCCTAGTCTCTACCGTACCCACGCGCGGGTACGTGGTCCTTGCCAGCAAAGTCCAAACTCATTTACCGCTTTTCACCCTTCTCGCTTCCCTTCACTTTCCCTTCGCTCCAACCGTCGATCCAACCCGCGGTACACGTAGAGGTGGTGGGTAACGCTGACACGAGATCGTTGCACGTCCTCCTATTCGACCCTTTCCCTTCGATAGACGGTCTTCACTCTCTCCCGATCTCGGTTACGCTGGCATTATATTCCTCGGCGATCGGTCGCTCGATTCGCTGCCACTCGTTCCTTCGTTCCTCGCGACAGTGATGCATCACCTGAAACAACCGAACGAATTTCTTTCAGTATATGCGTACCACGCTATTTCCAACCTGTTTTTCTTTCCTTCCTTCTCTCTCTCTCTCTCTCTCTCTCTCTCCCCATGCGACCAAATTTTAATAACTCGAGCGCTCGACACGTGGGACGCTAATGTCCCAGCGGATATTTTCAGGTGGAACGGCGGAAGTTGGTCGCGAGAGAGACAGGCGCAAATACTCGGCCGCGATACAGCCGCAATTCAGTCGGTCGGATGGCTGTTTTCCGTGCACGCATGATATATATTCCCCCATCGGCGGAAGTTGTATGCGTTCTCCGATGGCGGGGAGGGGAGGAGGTCGCGCGGTTTCCCTTCGACATGATACGGCAGATTCAACGCGACGGGTAATCTCTCTCTCTCTCTCTCTCTTTATGTGTGTGTGTCGAGCGGGCACGCGTCACCGAAAAATACGATCCCAGCGTGGAAACAGATGCCGAGACGGGGGGTGGAAGAAGGAGGAGGAGGGAGCAACCAGTTACAAAGAGACAAGAGAGCTCGCCTCGGTTGCAATATCGGAAGTAGGAGAAAAATATGCCTTCCAAGCACAATCAAGGACTCGAACGCATTCCATGCACAGCCGAGGCATATTGGAATTTCTCTTCGACGTTTCTCCTTCTTCGCCCCTCCTCCTCGCGTTATATATTCTTCTTCTTTTTCCCATCCCCGTGCTGGCTTGAGACGCACGTGATGCCCTCATATACATGTTGCTCGCGCTTCCTAAGTGCTTCCTCCTCCCTCTCGGATACGTTTTCACGATTTATCACCAGCTGGGAACACCTGGAAATAGAACGTCTGCCGCTGTCCACTAAGCGAAATAATACGTGGCTCGTGGCCGTTCCCCCTGTTAAGTCGGCGCCGCGCTCGTGGCAGTTTCTATTAGATGGAAATTGCGGTTTGATTTCCATGAAGAGGAAAGAAGGCGAGAGGAGAGCTTGTGTTTCGCGTTCCGTTATTCTTTCGTTTTCTCGTTTCGCGTGAAACGAGATGCTTTTCGAAAGATTTTTTTTTAATAATAATGACAATAATAGTAGTAGTAATGGAGGTATTTTTCGTTCGAGCGAATATATCTTAAGGATATATGATCGTTCCGCGCAATTGTATTTTCTTGATACGAATATAACTAATGGTTCAACTAATGGTTTAAGATTTTTAGAAGATTTTGTTTTCGGATACAAAAAAGGATCCAAAAACAAGTGGGGAAATTTGATTTCAAGATATAATTCTCGACCAATTTTCCAAACGAAGAAACGAAGAAAACGTTTATTATATTTCCAAAAAGTTGTGGAACATCGATCGAAAGTATTCCAAAACTTTTATCCGTAATTAAAATAACGCTTCAAGCGGCAAAATTGTATTTTCCAAGACGAAACTCGCGCGACAAAGCTCGCAGGAATGCGAAAGAAGCCAACGCGTCTCGCATTGAAATTCGTCGAAAATCTAATATTCTCGTCTGAGAGAGCCAGGGGACAGGGATCGATAATTCGATTAGCAGTAGTCGACACTGAGGATAGTTAGGTGGGACGCGCCTTCTCTCTGTAGACGCTCGAGAGCCCACGCTCGAGTACGGGTTAAAGTAGCCGGCCCTCGATACGGGTTTCGAGGGAGGAGGTGTGTACCCACCACGCACCACGTATATATAATATTCTCGAGCACTCTCCTTCCAGATAATATCGGCAGACCTGGCAGCAGCCTCTGATATCGTCCAAGTTAAGACGAGGGTGGCTCCATTTCGACAGATCGACGAGAAGGGGGACTCGTCCTCCTCTCTGGGAGGAGGAATCCACCCTTTTTCCACTCCCCCAAAGGTGGTGGAAGGCGTTCGTTTCACGGCCGCTCCGCATTAATTAATAACGTTAGCGCGCGTTAATTGAGGCAAAGTAGGGTGTCGGCGTTCGAAACTTTTTCTTCTCGCTTCCGCCCCCGGATACGTAGACCCAGGAAAATCGATTCCCCTCGAGTGGTGGATGGGCGTGGATTCGATTCGGGAATAATTGGGAGAATTATTCGCGTCGCGATAACAAATAAAATTGGAAGAAGAAACGGAGGAAACGAAATCGTCCTCGCGTGTCGGCTGGAATAATTGGCAGGACAAATATTTGGCCCCTCGTACTCTCGACTGATTGACACTTCAACGGCGTCGATAAACACGTGATTCCATCCACGATTTTCGCCCGTCCACACCCTGCTCCACGCCCCCGGCCCAGCCACCACTGTTTCTTTATTTTCTTCCAAACGTCGCCTGTTTGAAGAGCGCGTTAATGCTTTTAAAATTCTTGGCCAAACAATGGCTCGAAACGATGAACCCCTTCCGTCCCGCGCCGGGAAAAAGGGACAATATTGACAGAGATTGACGCCGTTGCCCTTCTCCCCCCCCCCCTCCTCCAATTTTACGTCCACCTTATGCTACATCTCTTTTTTTTTTTTCGAATGAAATCGATCGAAAGATGAGGCGACGATGAAAGATTGCCTCGATAATCGATTCGAGGTAATTTCGACAAAGCGATGAAATCCAGTGAATATTATTATAATTACGAATATTTTCGAATTTCCCCGATATACACGCCGAAAATCACGATTTGTTTCACGCTCCTCGGCTTCAACGTTCTCGAACAATAATCAAAGAAGAAACCGACACCTCCGATTTCCATCGACGACCCAGATACTTTCAACGCTTTTGCAAAGTGGTGCCCCCCCCCCCCTCTCTAGACCCAACGTCTAGACATCATCGATAGCGTTAAAACGAGGAGATACGCAAACAGAGATACGCCGGTTCTGAATGAAGCCGGCGCGAGAAACTAATATCCGAGATCCTTCCATCGACTTTTCATTTCCAAGAAGAGAACGGGCCGATGTATCGACTGAATTATATTTTTCCTCGTGCGCAGGCAACCCCTCGTTGCAACACACATCGAGGATACACACAAGGCGGAATCCCTTTGAGCCGAGCAGAAGGGAAAGTCAGACGGGACGGCCAATAGGACGATGGAATATTGCGTCCTTATTGTAATATATTTGTAAGCCACTTCGCGAGACAATTTCATCCGAGGCGGGTGTAGACAGGTGGGATGCGCTATTCCTTCGAGGTATATCATTATATTGCGCGACAGGGGTGGCACGATTATTTGTCGAATGCTCGACGAAACAAAGGGAGGGAAAGGAGTCGAGAGTGGAAGAATCTTTTCTCCGTCTGTTTCGTCTCATTTCGTTTCTCCGCTCGAACTAATAAACGTTTTCGCGTTTCGAGTCTTTGGATCTTACACGTTCAACAGGAAGGAAGGAGATTATACTTCCTTCGATGGGGCGAAGTTGGAGAATTAATAAACGATCGGAATTTCGCCTCGTGACGCAATGGCGGTAATTGGTAATCAAGTCGAGTGTTACGTTGATCTTGCCTTTGACTGGTTTCGAGAAAAGCGTAGGATTCGTCGTTCTGGATCGATCGTTCGAACCAGTCGAAGGTAAGAGAACAGTTCGTACCGATACGAGGCAGTAGATGTTACGTAAAATTGTTCCAATTACACCAACTTCCGGACTAATTTAACCACCTTTTATTGAGGGTAAATAACAGCATTCTTGATGAAAATTTTTATCAATTCTCGATTTCTTGGGCCACGATGCGCAAGAAGTCACGCATTTCGTTCACATTTGATCCTAACGAAATCTCCACGAGTCAGGTTCATACGTGCTTATACTTTCTCGCCCAAATTTCTTCTTCCACGAATCTCACTCGTTGTCGTAGAACAAGGGTTTAATCGCGTTATAACGATAATTTATTTCGTTATATCGATGACTCAGCACGACGAGGAAGAACACGTTTCATCCTCTTTGCCCTTCCATCACGAAAAAGCGCATAACGGAAGCCACGGCACGCGCTCGTTTCTCCCACTTCCTCCAAACTTCCCCCGTTCTTCTCCCCCCCCCCCCCCTCAACAGTCGTCCTCCCGAGCACGACGACTTTTTCCTCCTGGAAATCCTCCGTGGCTCCGGGCCACCACGGTTTGCTTTGGAAGCGGAGATGTTTGGTTAACATGTGTGCCTAATGGCCCGTGCGAAATGGATTTTTAAGGTCCTCCGTTTAAAGAAAGAAGGGCGGATCGAAAATCGATGTCGATGATCGAAAGTCGATAGGGGCGACGAAACTGTTGCCCCTCGATGGCCGCATAATGAACGCTCGACACGAGGCCGGATATTGTATCGGCGAGCAACGGTTTCCGCGCGGATGCGCGCGTTTATTTCTCGTTTTCTCTTTCTTTCTGTTTAAACGCGTGCGAATTTAATTATCGCGATAGAATTTCGCGGGATCATTGAATTACAAATGGAAATCGTTTGGCGGGAAAAGGCCGATAAATGGGGAAATTGCGGTGGAGAATGGGAAAAGTTAATGGGGGGAGATGGTATCGAAGTTTCTTTTTCTCTCCTCGAAAGAAATTCTTAATGTCGATTCCATTCCTTTTCGATGAAATGACGTCGAAAAGAAGTCGAAAACGTTAGTTGAAGCTAATCTCTCGAGAGTCGAGGTACGTGTCTTATCGAGTCCGCGCTATTTAACAACGATACGATACAGATTCGAGTACAGAGAAGACTTCGATAATGGAAAATTGTCAAGATTCGCGCGAGTCATTCGCGTATCGTCTCGACCGTGATCCATCGCTGTGAACCGATCTTAATTTCCACTAATCATAAAAAAAAAAAAAGAAAAGAAGCATCATCGACACACCAAAGTGAATAGTATCGAAGTTCGAGATCGAGGCTGAGGAGAGCTTTCTTTCTTTCTTTCTATACGTTTTACAGATCTCTCGACACGAAGGGAGGGACACCCTCGGATATTAGGTTTCCCAGTGCGGTTTTCAACCACCCACTCGATCGGTTGATCGGTCGACTTTACCCCGGGGAAATCACACTAGGATACGAATTGGACCTCACCCCTTCGATTCGCCGCGCGAGAAGAAGATAGCGATTCCC